AACCGCGGTTGATTACATGGGAGTCCAGCGACATAGCCATTATGCTAACTGCTGGTCCTTCCTTTTCTTGTTTGTTTTTAACTCTGCCACTTAGATTGATTTGAACTGGAAATAGGCATTTTCCGAGAAGTATTGTCTACCTTTTTCTGAGACATTTTCTACCGTTTCTACTATTTGATGCTGGTGCCAGGATTGATCTAAGGGATGCTAAGCATCCCTCCTTAAATATAAAAAGTTAAAAGAAACACAAATCCTAGAGTAAATATATATATATTTGAATGAATGACTTTAAACATCTTTAATGTCTTAAAAGTAAAATTTAAAGATACAGATATAGCTAAAAAAGTATTCTCTTAGATACCTTTTAATAGATTTTTGCTGTATTACTTATTATAATTCCTGCATTTTGCAAGTTGAATTAGATTTCAAGGTCAGTTGGTTACACAACTAGACTCACACAAGAAGTCCTGGGTTCCTGGGTTTGCATCCCAGGGCCTCCTGAGCTTGCATGTGCCATGATCTGGGCCAGCTGAGATGGTGGAGGTTTGCAGCCTGAAGACCATGTTTATGGTGTCTGCCTGCCTGTCTGTCTCTGTCTCTCTCTCATGGAAGACATAAAACATTTAAAAACAGAATGTGCATAACAACTTGGGCAAGTAGGACTCCACGCTGGGCATCTGCTCTGCTCCACCATTTGTCAAAGCCATTTTTGTTGCAAGGGTCCCTTTTTTGGAATTTGACCTCAGTCAGTGTAGTTACCAGTCTTACACCCTTGTATTGGAGACAGAAAGAACTGTGTCCATTGCCTCACATGTAGGTCCTGGTACCTTTTTTAGGGCACCAACTGTAACATGACAAATTTCATATTCAGATTTAAGAAAGGTCCCTGAATTCTCAGGGGCTTTGGTGAATTGGAAATTAAAAGTTGGTAACTACATGTCTCTTAACTTGATGACAGTGTTCTTTCTGCTAATATGAAAGAACAATCATTCCTCTGGCTGACAGCTTCTAGTTTCTCTTCCTACTTTGTATCTTAGAGATTTAGAAAAACAGTTCTAATTATTTAGATAAAATACCAACACAGTTCGTTAAGCCAATCCTTTAGTCTTTAACATTTTTTAAATCTAGGCTTCTGACAGAAATTCTTTGTTAAGGTATACAATCATTTATCACCAATGCAAAGCACATATATTTAAAATAATATAAATTATTGGGACTAGCAGTTAGCGTACTGGCTGTGTCGCTGGACTTCCATGTAGTCGACTGCGGTTTGGGTCCCGGACCCAGTGGCTTAAAGTTTGCACTGGACGTGTGTGCATGCGTGCCCAAGATCCCGGAGAGGAGAATGGAGCAGAAGGGATTGCAGTGTGGCCATCCCCCCTGGGGGATGATTTCTCGCTTTCTGTCTCTCTGTCTCTGTTTGTCTGGCGGGCACACGCGCCCTATAGCAAAAAGAAACAAAACAAAACAAAACAAAAACAAAAAAACTCTCTCCAAAAAAAATTAATAAATAATATAAATTATTTCCCACTCATAAAAAGCATGTTTTTAAAAAAATATTTGATACTGGCACCAGGCCATATTTAATTCTCTCACCTCCTTGGGCATTTCTGTCCATTATTTCTGTCTGTTATTTCTGTCTGTCTTATTCTGGGTCCTATCCAGAGCCAACCAAAGTCAAACTTAGATTCTAATATTTCTCTGCTTTTCAGCTTTCATAGCTTCATGCAAAAGCTCCTGACATGTCATTCTGTTCACATTTGTCTCTCTAGTCATCCATAATCTATCATTCTCTTGAAACCTGCAAGTCTCTTCATAGCCAGTCTCTGCTAGAACCTCAGTTTTGGGCTTCCATTCTCTGTTCTGTAGACACACTCATTTCCGAGTCAGTCAATCAGACCTTTGCCTTGCTTTCTCTCTCCTTAGTCACTAGTTTTAAAACACGTACTAAAAAAATGATCTGTTTATTTCTTTCATAAGTGAGAGTCATACGCATGCACACACACACACACACACACACACACACACACACACACAGACTCCACCAACAGAGTTTTAATGCCATAATCCACCCCAAGCCTCAGCCAGCCCTGCACCATGGCTATGCATGCACTTAGCATACTCTAGAGGTCTCTGGAAGCAAATTCAGAACCTTCCCATGTGAGTCAGCTGTTGGAATTTATGTTTTACTGCTTCACCACCCTTTGGCCTCCATCACAGTAGTTGAAAACATAATCTCCTCTTCTTTGTTTACATGAGGAGCCCTTAACGCACATACAATTTTTGGGTTGTAAAAATTAGTTTTATATTGCCATATACTCACCTACTAGATTGTCACACATTCAAAAGAAGTACTAAACAAAGATTTTGTGCTTTTTGAATTTATAGTATAGGTGGGAAGAGAAATTAATTCTCATGGAGTATGCTCTTACATTAAAATTCTATTAGCAAATACTAAATTATATAAATATATATAGCTAGTATTTATGGACTACATGACATATGATAGGCAAACCTTATCTATAATTCTCACAACAATCTTACTTTTTTATTATTATTTATTTCTTATCTGAGAAATATGAAGGTGGAACATGTTAAATAATTTGTATAGGATCACACATGGTGAGTAG